AATGGGCGCAACTTGCAATTGTAGATTGGATTCAACTATTTTAGTACAAATATTAGTGACCGTTTTTAGTTAAATATTTATTTTTTCTTGAACTTATTTTTAATCGTACATTCTTTTAATAAAATAATTTTGTACATAAATTCAATTTTTTTTCTACTTTTAAATCACACATTATTTAAAAAATATCACTATTATCAAATTTATTTTTCAAACAATGAGCTCAAACAGAGTCTTATTGACTGTCTTATGGCCATATCCTTCAATAGCACCTGACAAAAATCATTTTTGAATTGGATTTAAAAGACCTTTTAAAATCAAATTAATTCTTGTTAATGGATAAAATGTTTTTCTCACAAAATTAAGTCATAAATACACATGTAAATAGCCATGTTCACAAAATGGATCGCCTCTCTCTCTCTCTATGTACTTCCATATTTACATGTGTAGGTATTGTTAAATCCCCAATCTAAAATCTAAGTAGGTGACTAAAAACTCCAACCTAAACATTGATAGATTTAGAAATAAATGAAATTTGTGAAGACAATAGTTCGTAGTTTAATAATAATACATTTAAGTTATTGTGTCGCAATAATTGCATTATAAGCAATAATAAAGTTGAGATCTAACAGGGGGCTAAAAACTCTGAATGTATATATGAAGAAGATTTGAACACGAAATTGAAACGTTGTTCTCGAACGATATTTGCCTCCTCTCACAGTACTTTTAAAGATTGAAATGACATATAGCTTGTAGAATTTATCAAGCCTCAATAAAGAATACCAAAAATAAAGTAATTCTTCAAAGTGAACAAGTGAAAAAAGGAATTTAATTATGTAAAGAAACCAAATTTCTTCAATAGTTGGATGAACAACAATGATCTTTTTTAATATGTTTAGGGATGAACATCATCATGTATTTCTAGTTTTCAGTCATCCCTATATGAAGTGGTTTCAATTCAATAAGAAGAGGTGCAATGATTCACCAAGAAAACCATCAGAAATTTCGAAAAAATCCAATCAACTAGATTTTAACACTATACGACTGCATAGGCTAAAGCCATGCGGTCGCATAGCTATAACTTAGGCCGCCTCTATGGATAGCTATAACGGCTCACGTTTATAAACACATAAATTAATTTTTTTATTCATACATTTAAATGGACACAGAAGTACTATCCATTTATCAACAATCTTTAAACAATTTATAAATAATCACTACAAAAAAAAAGGCTTTAGGCACGGATTTTTCATTCCTGAAACCGTAATATCCGTTGCCATTACTCTTTACCAACAGAATACTAATAACCACAGATTCGTTGTTAATTTGAGGGTCGCTGATGCCTGATGGTTACCAACGAATCGCGCCGTAAGTAAAGAGTAAACATTTTACAAGTTTGAACCTTTTACCAAATTAAATTCCGTTGGTAAAAGTTTCAACAATTACCAACTGACTTTTCGTTGGTAAACTGTCTACCATTACAATTGGTAAAAAATCAATATTGTAAATAGCTATATAGGTATGAAACGTGGCAAAAGAAAATTATTTATCCATTTTTTATTATTGTTGTTATTTATTTATTTAATAATTATAAATTATGAACTTTTAGTCAACTGAATTGAAAGGTCCAGAAAGTTGTTTAATCACTTATTGGATCGCTTAATTATAGAGAACATCTCCAAAGACTTTGTTGTGAACTTTTGATGTGGGATAAGAATTCATTTGGTTGGGCTGTAGCGTAGCGTATTGCACTCTTGTATAAATAGTTATTTATATTTTATTACCCTTCAACTACGTATATTTAATGCGTGAATGATTAAACTTATTAATTATTAGAATTGATTAATACCGTCAATGGATTTTTCATGGGCAATGTGAATTTATCTTCACCTACGAAATTTCTCCATTGGTGAAGAGGTTGAAATTCTTCTTCTTCTTCTTCTTCTTCTTCATTTTTTTTAAAATTAATTACCCTTCACCTACAAATATTCCGTAGGAAAATGTTTGAATTTTTAATTATTAAAATTGATTAATATTAACAATGGCAATTCCGTTGGTAATATGAACTATTTTTCACCCACAAAAAATTTGTGGGTAAAAGGTTGACACAGTTTTTAGGAAAAAAAGTTGAATTACATCACCAACAAAAATATTGTTGGTAAAGGTACGTATATTAAAAAACAACATTGGGCCTGGAATATATGTTAGTGAAGAGCTACCACTTTTATTAATGAAAATTTCGTTTATAATTTTCGTAGTTAAAAGTCTAATATTTCTATCACCGGATAATTCATTTCTAATTATCAATGGTATCCGTAAGTGAAAAGTTGATTTTTAGTAGTGAATTTTCAAACATGTTCTCATCCACCAATTAATGAAGCATGGGATTGACAAATTAATGTCAACCCATGCATCCTTTCTAGAATCCAAAGATGCCTCGTACAAAAGCCTAGCTAGTAATAGCAATAAAGAAGATCTTCATGAAATACAATAAGCATACAAGGGTTTTTCTATTTATACACCGAGGTTAACACCACGGTATACAGATCTCCTCACAAGGGGGGCCACGAATAAAAAAAAATAATTTGTGGGCCCTTCGTGAGGGAATCTGTACACTGCAGTGTCACATGTAGCAAGGCCCAAGCATACAATTATGCATTGATAGTTAAGCATTGAACACGAGAGAAAAAGCTTAGCCCTTTCCTGAGTTTATGTTTTGTTTTTGCTATTAACAAAACACTCATTTAATAATGTCATATTTGTGAAGGAAAAAACTATTAAAATAACAACAACAACAACAACAACAACAACAACAATAATAATAATTAAGCCCATGTTTGAATTTCAATTTTTTAAAACTCTTTTTTTATTTTTTATTTTTTTAACTCATTTTCAATAAAATAATTTTGTATTTCAAGTAAGTTTTTCCTACTTTTTAAATTAAAAATAGTTTTATATGTAAATCCCAAATTCTAAAAGAAAAACACTTTTTATAAAATATTACAATTTTATATGTAATTCCAAAATTTTAAAGAAAAACACTTTTTACAAAATATTATATGTATAAATTACTTGGCATATCAGTGATGGAGAGGTTTCATGTAGTTTGACTCGATATCAATTATTCAATCTCTTGCACTCATTATTTCTAGTCCAATAGTTACTTTACTGTTGAAGTACAAATGATCCTTCTCGATTGGCAGCTCTTGCCTCCTAATAGTGTGCTCAGTGTGTAGGACAAAGGTGATGCCTATGTGGAGGGGAAATGATCGAGATTCTGTTGTCTACATATCTTTACAAAAATTGAGATCAACACAGAATATGTTCTTAAAATATAAGGTTTGAACATGAACTAAATATTATCCTAAACAATTTAATGTCCACCACATAGAGAAGAATCTAGAAATAATATTATTTGCAGTCGCTTACTATCGTAGTTTTCTTACGAGATGGCATACATGTGGTGGTTAATGATTTGTTGTATAAGGTAATAAAAAATTATCACATTAATATGTCAAATCGCTAACGACAGTGAGCAATTGTAAATAACTTACTCATTTAGAAAATTGATTTTTCATAATCAAGTCAACTAACCATAAAGAAGAATCTTGGCTATAAATATATACATCGTTCACGGCCATTTTTCTTCAGACTTTTCCACTCTTTCCTAAATTTTTCGAGTGGGTTTCACTTCGGAATAAAGATACTAAACTTTGAGAAGTTTTCGTGCAACCTACATGGCGACGCCAGCTGAAGCCTTAGCATTGGAGCAAATAAGAATGCATCTTCTCGAAGAGTTTTCTACTAGAGAAATTGCATTTGCTACTGATGTCGAAAATCAAAGCAGCTCTAACATAACTTTGTCGATTTCTAACTCCCTGACTCTATCGGATTCACTTTGCTCTCAATCTGCAAGCAATGAATCTCCGATTTCTATCTCTGATTACTCCAATAATTTCTCCAATTTTTCAAGCTCTCGATCCTATTTTTTCGAGCAAAATCAAGTAATAGATTTCACAACACAAAAAGCTCTAAATTCTAATAATCGGAAGCCTTCGCTAAAGATCAAATTTCCAGCCGTTGAGAAGCTTGAGTGGATCGATGTATCAGAGTCAACTCGGAAGCAGCACTCAGGCTCGGAGGAGAATCGGCATTATAGAGGAGTCCGGCAGCGTCCTTGGGGCAAGTATGCGGCTGAGATCCGGGACCCCAAGCGGCGCGGCTCGCGTATCTGGTTGGGGACATTCGATACTGCCATTGAGGCTGCAAAAGCCTACGACAAGGCGGCTTTTGAACTGCGCGGCAGCAAGGCGATTGTGAATTTCCCTTTGGAGATACAAAGCATGGAGTTTAGATCATGCGCCCCCATGGATGTCGGACGGAAGCGGTCCAGCGGAGGAGAGAGGCGAAGGAAGAAGCTGCACAAGTAGAAGTGGAGAAACTGAACGTGCCACCGACTTATTATCCACAGCTATTGGTGATATGAACGATAAAATGATATTGTCTATCTCCTTGAAACTCATTCTTGCTAATATTTTCTCGATTCATGAAAATTTTCATGAGTGTCTTTCAGTTGCTTCTTAAATGGAATAATCTTTCTAATACGCATCGAATGCAGATGTTTTGAAAATTTTCTTTAGAGTTTGAAGAATGATATCAATCATGTATTTAATTTTTTTTATTACTTCTTCAAACACGCATAATTCGAAGTAACTGGAATGTTAAAAACTTGATCACTCTGTTAACTCTTACCTACCCAACAAAATATGCGAAATTAGCGGTGGAATCAAGATTTTGGGTTTGGGGAGGCGAGCTTAGAAGGGAAAAAAAATGAGGAAGAAGAGAAGAAGGTGAAATTATGTAAATAGGACAAATTATTAGGGACTGAAAAATCTTATTTTAAAGGTTAATGATGTATTCGCTATAAACCAAAAGAATTTAATTTTTGATATATGTTTTATATGTGCATTTAAAAATATTGTCGGAGCGATCGCCACTCCCATTCTCGTGTGAAGTGACTAAGAGAGGAATAAAGCCAAGTTTTGAACCATTAGTTTTTGCAAATAATTTGGGAGGTAATATCCGGTTTTTCATTTCGTATAATTTTTTAATCCTCCAGATATATTTGTAAATGTTTTTGACTAAGTGAAATCTGAAGTAGTAATCTACATGAAATACCATTCCTCACCACTATCTTTTAATTCATGTTTATATAAGCTTCAAAATTAGTGCCCTGTTTGGTGGCCATTTCTTTTAAAGAGTTTTGAATAGTGTTTTAAGAGAATGTATGATGAAAAAGTAAGGAAAAATTTTGGATTTATTTGTAGAATATTTTATTGTGTGAATGTGAGATTGAAAATTAATGATCCTAAAAACAAAAACAAAAAAAAAAAAGTTCGAAAAGAATGAAAATTAGGCTTCATTTACTAGAAATATGTGTACATTATTTAAAAGTAAATAAATCAAATTTTGAACTGGCCAGAGTTTGGAAACAAAAAACTAAAGGGACATTCGCAAAAATGTCAAATTTTACGTATGTCAATTCAAAAATGTCCACTTTTGATAATCTTTGCAAAAATGATCAAATTTGATAGTAAATTCTTTATTTTACCTTTAATGAAAGAATAAATAATTTCATACTGTACATGTCAAATCACAATAAATGCTAAATATAGAAATATCGAGAACAACATTTAAAGTGTAGAGAAATATCATGTTAGGAATGATATGTCATTCTAGACATTTATTGAAAAAATTTGGACATTTTTATAAATAACTATGTCAAAGTGGACATTTCTTGTAATTTCCTCTCAATGAAACTGCTTGCTTTGACAGAAAAAGACAGAACGAAACCTAGGATAAAATTGTTGCCCAATCATTTTCTGTTCATAACAAACAACATAATTATCATATCCGTCATTGGACTGGGTTAGTTATTTTAGTACAAATATTGACGGTCTTAAACAGCTCCACTTGACCGGCTGTCGTTGTTTGAATCGAACAATTTCTAATAGTTAATTGATGAAAGTTCAAATTTTCCTTCTTATTATTGTTAAGTATTTTACTGGATATATTACCAAATTAAATCATAAATGCAGGTGTTAACATTGGCTAATTAAATACCCTATGTTCAACGAAACAATGTAACAAAATCAATTCTCTTAGGTGTGAAATCCATTAATATATATTTTTTAAATAAAATAAATCAAGACAGCTCACTTACCTGAATAAGTGGAATAGTCGATACTTACAATCCATTAATTCTTGATCGATATTTTACTATGCATATGTACTTATATATATGATTTCGACTGGTTGGAAAAGCTAGTATAAGTATACGGAAAGTTGGTGAAGTATATTCTTAAATACATATTTTCTATTTTTTTTGATAATTTGGCTCTGTATATACTAGTTCAACTATTTGTTCCTAATTTTTATGCATTTTCAGTTGGTTTGTGTACATTAAAATTTTCCATTTTCAATCCACAAGCAGATACATATTAATATAATAATCTTTGCCTCAATTAAAATAAAATGACAATTTCAAATCAGTGATGGATAATAAGTTTGTAAATAGATCAGAAATTAGCAACCGTAACTAAAATAAAATCGCTTTAGTTTAATGGACATAGTTGTTGGAATACCGCAACTAAATTAATCAGTTGGTGATGACCTAAGGTTTCTCGTTTGAAGAAAATTTACCTATTCTACTTTTGTTGGGAATCTACTTATACATGCACAGCGGAATTTAAAATAATTTTCGATTCCCACCAAGAATCGCTTTTGTGTTTAGATAGAAATTGTGACAAGATTGTACCTTTTTCAGATCTGCAATCTTTTGCTTTTCTTTTCGTTCCATCAACCTTGATTCGCCACCACAGCTGTCCAATTGTCCAGCCTCCAACGGTGATCTACACAGAGAATAAGATTGCAGCTTCTAGGGTTTTCTCTTGTGCCAGCAAGAATAATGAAAACCTTATGGACCTCAAACCCTAGTTATGTATTTATATAAACCCAAACAAGCTCGGCCCGGTCCGATCCAATAATTAATTAATCCAATTAATTAAACCCGATCCGTGAATTAATTAATCCAATTAATTAATTTGAAAATATAAATAACAAATCCATGTGACGGAAAATGTCACGTGGTATGACAAAACCAAATTCGTTCGTTTACCATGAAACTATAATCCCTTCGTCAATATGATCCGATCAATTACGAGATATGAAATTGTGTCAATCTCAATCATCGATCATATCTTTCACTCCACTATTAAGTCAATATAAATCGAAAACTCCTTTTCGACTTATGAGTACACGTTGGCCAAGGATTTGATCATTGACTTAATTGAATGAAACGCAGATCATAATCTCCTACTATCTAAGAGTGACGAATCCATTATTAATCAATCACAACCTTCATACGATTTTTGACGTACCCGAACGATGTCTTATTAGCGGCCCTTTTCAGAGCAACATCCAACACTGTCAAAGTATGACTATCCTCATACAAGGTACCATGACGACCTCAAGTCAAATGACCAATTCCACTACCGAACGTTAGAGATTAACCACTGACACTCAGATAGTTATCCATGTGGAATCTCTCGGACGGGTCTCCAATGTTCTATTCTATAACAAAACATCCACGTGTTCATTTAAGTGTCACCACATTTTAACTTGTGAGATCAGCTACTTACTTCACAAGTAAGAAATGTCACACGTGATGGTCTATCCGTAATAACGATATCCGTATCTCGTTATTACTTACGATCACGAATGATTTAAAATTCAATCAGATGTGATTTGTATCTCACAATCACAACTCCGTGTGATTAACAAATTACAAATATTTGAATCTACGGACTCTATTATTTATTTAATTGTCTATTAATTAAATAATAGATCTGCCATTTAATTACATTAATTATATATAAAAGTATTTATGTCCAAAGTTGATTGGATCTAGGGCATAATACTTACAAACTCCCACTTGCACTAGATTTAATCACTTATGTATCCAATATCATAAGTTTACATGACGATCATGTTTATACTACGACAACTCTTTGTCAGTGGATCTGCAATATTATTAAATATGGAAATTTGTTCTTCTCTTTACGTCATTTCTATGTATTATCTCTCTGACGAGATTATATCGCCTTAATACATGTTTGGATCATTGATGAGACTTTAGTTCCTGTGCTTTCGCAATGGCTCTATTGTTATCACAATACTATTGTATGTGATCAATAATATCAGGAACTACTCCAAGTTCATTTATGAACATCATGATCCATATTGCAACTCTTTGCTACTTCTGAAGTATCCATGTATTAGGTTTCTACTATTGAATCAACGGTTGCTTCACGTTTGGAACCTTTCCAACATACCACTTAAGAGTAAACCAGTTTCTCCATATGAAATCTTCTCAAGATTTCATCTATGTAAATTGGGATGAGTTAAGCAATCTTCTAGATCTACCTTTATAGATCAAGTTGCTTATCCTATATCGTTTATGAATAAATCTTTTAACAACCATTATTTCAACGATTGAATCATAGGGATGTCGTTTTAGGAATACGAAAAATGCTCCCACTATCTTCTTGTAAATACACAATTCGTTTTCAAATTTGATAAAATCAAACACTTTGACTTTTCATCAAATCTAAGATTTCAGCTCCAAGAGACTTCTCTTAACGTATAGTCACGATATGCAATTGTTGCAAACAAAACCCGAATGGACTTAAGCAAGGCTACAGGAGAAATATTTCACCAAGGTCAACATTTAACCTTTGCTTCTAGCATTGCTTTGTATATATGGATATTCATATCCATATCGACCTTTTCTTTTGTAAGCTATTTACAAAAGCTTATGGGCTTTATTCCATTAAGAGGTTTGACCAAGGTCCAAACCTTGTTCACTTGCGCCGAGTTTCATCTCGAGTTTCATGGCCTCTTGCTGTTTCTTTTAAGTCAACACTTGACTTTATTTTGTTGCAACTAGCAGGTTCATTATCCTGGATCACTGATTAATGATTCGCACCTTCTTGAAGGTCGAATGATCCTACTAGATTCACATAGAGCTGTTATGTCCTCAGGAGTCTTTACTTCCTGATCCAAAGTATGTCCCATATCAGATATGGGATCAAACTCAGATCTATCTACTTGGTTAACTATATCTGTGGACGTTTGAACTCTTTCAAAATTCTATTTTACTCCCACTGTCCTCTCCTAGAGTAAACATTTTCTCTAAGAAGACGATATGTCGTGAGACGAAGACTTTCTTCATGATAATAGAATTTATATTCAATTATCTCCTTTGAATATCTCACAAATATGTATTTATCGAATTTAGTCTCAACCTTATCCGATTTAAGGCGCTTCAAATAAGCATCATGGCCCCAATCTTTCATATAAGATAAATTGGGACTATTGTCTTTCCATAACTCGTGTGGAGTTCTGTTAACCAATTTAGATGGGACATGGTTTAGTGTGTTGCACACTGCAATCAATGCGTGACCTCAAAACAATTTTGAGAAATTTGCATGGCTTGTTATTAATCGCATTATATGTAATAATTAACAATTCCTCCTTTTAG